CAAAAATAACGTATACAATATACTGATTAGACGTATAAAATCTATGTAAAATTACGTATACAATATACTGATTAGATATATAAATTACGTATTTTTTTGCATACGGAAAAAGACAATTTTCAGTATCTTGTATACGGAAATATTTACGAATTATTATACTGTTTTTCTGTTTTTTATACGTTTTTTAAACGTATTATTTCCGTATACTTTCCTTATACTGATTATTTATAGGGATAATAATGTTTATTTTAAATTAGATAAAATAATAAATTAATTTATATTTGATAATAATATTATATTAATTATGTATTTTATATAAATTTTATAGCTATTTCTAATAAAAATAAAATTAGAAATTGAAATCAGTTTTGGGTCATCTGGATCATCTGATTAAATTGGTTTGACCTGATTTTAAATTTGATAATTCAGATACCCAATTGCCTTAATAAAAAAAAAGCAGATTTTTGATATTCGATGATTTTAAGAAATTCAAATTAGTTAATATAAATATTAAATGAATTTTAATTTATTTAAAATTTAAATTATAGAAGAAATTTATAGATAAATATTCTATAGTTATTCCAGCTGAATTTTTTTATTTAATTTTTAATTTATTACCAAATTTATTCTAAATATTAGCTTTTAATTATAAATGATAGGCCTTTACTTTCAAACAATAACAATATAATTGTTACTCTAATATTAAAGTTTGCCACAAATTTTTTTTTGATAAAAGCAATAACATGTCACAATAAAGGTTAATTTAAATTATAATTTTTTTAAAAATTAAGTTTATTATCAAATTTTAATATTTAAGTAATTTATTATAAATATATTTGATTTTTAATTTATAAATATAAAACATTATTAAATAATAAAATCATAAATATAAATAATTTTAATTATATATTATTAATTTTGCAATTTAATTACTTTTTCCTTATTATAAAGTTTTATTTAATAGGTACTATTAAATGTAATTATTAAATATTAATATAAAAAATTTTTTTTATTAATCTAAATTATTATTACTAATTAAAACTAAAAAATAAATTAATTATAAAATTAATTTAAATATTATTAAATTATTAAAATAGTTTAATAAATAAATAATAAAATTAATTATGAAATTTTTATAAAAATTTATTTATTTTTTAATTTAATTTAAAAAGATTTTTAATATTTTAAAATTAATAAATATAATAAATTTATAAATTTAATAAAATTATTTTATTTTAATAATTAGGATTAAAATTAATTTTAAATTAATTTAATAATAAATTTAAATTAAAATAAAAATGATTAATTTTATTTTCTAATTTTTCTAACTCCTAAATATTACATTTAATAATAAAATAATAAATTGAATTAAAATTTAATTGTTAAATTTGAAATTTAAAAATTAATGATTCAAAATACTATATAAAATAAATATATATTTTATTTATAATTTTAAATTAATTTTATTATATTTAACATTTAAATAATTACTTTAATTTATTAAAAAATTTTTATATAAAATAAAAAGATGGTCAAGATTCTGAGAATTTTTCAAAAAATTTTCAACCTGATTTTCTAGAAATCTTCTATATATATAATTTTAATCATGAAAAATTATTTTCTTTCTTCTAAATTTTAAATTAAATACATGTATTATAAAAAAAACCAATTAACGAATAGGTATATATTTGATAATTATAAAAAAATATATCATTATTAAAATAATTTCGAAAAGTGAGAGCGCGAGACCAATGATCTTAATTAAGTATTTGTTTATGGGGCTTTATTTGTTTTATATTTATTATTTGTCTTACTAATTGGGAAGGACATGACAATGTTTGCGATTATCGTTATAAAATCGAAACTTTAGATTATTTTATTTTTAAGGATTATCGGAAATTATTTTTAACAAAGGGTCATAATAATTTACCAACTTTTAAACTTTAAAGATATAGCTATAATCATCGTAGAAATATTTGTCCCTTCTTTACTTTTATTAACAACCTTTATGGGATGACCCACATTGAAGAACAAAAGCAAATACAAAAATTCCAACAAGACTTGCTTTCAACCATAATGATGATTTGAATATTATATAAAACTAATACGAATTGATTCTAACTATTCAGGATTTTATTGTCCGAATAATTATTTCTTGTACAAATTAGAAAAGTTAATGATAAGATTCTACTATTTACGGTATACAGGAAGGAAGTTTAGGAAACATTACACAATTCAAGTTCATTTAAAAGTTGACTATTTAAGTAATATTGAAATTAATTTTCATAAATAGTACTACCCATTACTTAATAGAATGTCTGACAATTTTTGAGTGACAAGAAACTATGCAAATGATAAAATGAATGCCAATAAGCTAACCAAATACAAATGATTTGCATTACATTTTATTCCATAATAGTTGAAAAATTGGTGGAATGCCTCGTTCAAAAAAAGTTCATAGGTATTATTAAATATTTTGTTTCAATATTTTATTTACAAATAAAGAAGACTGTATGTAGTATTGCTATAAGTTAAAAAGAAAAATTACAATTGATATTTTTTCAAATAAAAATAATTTCTAAAGAACAATATTTTTTGTAAAAAGAAAATTATTAGATTATTAACCACCACCTGACAACACCCTGACAATCGCTCTACATGTCTGGGTTGATTCCAACACGCTTAATTTCAGCGGCACCGATAAGAGTGCCACCCATTTTAACCACCACGTAAAAATTAATGATTTGATCCAAATTAAAATTATAATAATCAGCTTGAAAAGCAGAATTTCCAGGAACATTAATGCTATATTGTAATGGTCTGGTTAAATCGATCAAGACATAAGGAGGACACAAAGGTCTTGGCACTATTTTGACGGTATAAAAGCGAGGATCCGGCTCAGTAAAACCGGTATTACATTGACCTATTACTCTGATTCCACCATCGTTCATTATAGTGAATGTGATTCTTCCTGTCATTGGTTCGACGACATCGAAATAAGGGATAAGAGGATCAAAATCCGCATATGCAACATGACCTTGTTGTGTTGATGGATCCGGAAATTGTCGTTTTTCGATAGATGTTTTTAATTCTAATGGGGACGAATTTGTGAGTACTATAATAAAGGAAAGAATCAATAATGATAATGAGATTATGAATCGTGTCATTTTTATTTTTTATTATTATTATAATAATAGGTTGTGATAGTTATTATTTGTTTTTTTGGTCTTTTATTGAAAAGTAAGCACAAAATATTATCTTCTTTCTCTTTTTTTTTTAATAAATTTTGTAAAGTTGGTTATTTTGGTAAAAAGTTTACTTTGTGAAAGAAGAAGCGATTACGATTAAAGAGCAAAATAACAAGAAAAAATTTCAAAGGGTTTGGGAAAATGACCCTTATTTATAGTTTTAATTCCGAAACAATCTCCATGTTACATGATTTTTGCTTATACATTAGTTGTAATATTATTATAAATATGGAAGATGCGGTAATATGCACGCCCGCCTTGTAACTTTCATTCGATAAATTATTTATATAATTTATTTTCGTTTGTGTCTTTGTTTATGTTATTTATTTTTTTTCTTCTTACACCCCTGAGACATTTTAAAATTCTTTCTGTTTCTTGAACCACGTGAAGTTGATCCTCCCATACTGATAAAAGTTTTTTAATGAATATCTTTATTCGGGTATTCTATATATAGAACATTGAAGATATCAAATACGGCCCGTTCCTATTTTGCATTTGATCACCAAAGAAATACGATTATTTTATTTAATCACATAAATTACATCATTCAAAGTTCATTAACATATCCTTCAATATTCCTGAAAATTTCTTTTTCTAAATTTAAAATTTTGGACTTTTTATTCTTGATTGCGCGTATGGTTTGTCTAGAATATCCCCTATAAAAGTACAATCATATATCAAGCTTTATTGTTTGATTATTAAGTTCTTCATTGTTATGCTGCGGTTAAAAAATTTGCAAAAAAAAAAAAAAAAAAAAAAATGATACAAGTCATTAATCAATCAATCACTGCAATGTTTTTCATTGTTGTAAATCTTACTCTTGGCAGAAGATAAAAGCCCAAAGGTAATTTTCCCATATCATGGAATTTTGTGACTCTTCATTCTATTTTGATTCGAGTTACACCACATGTTTTAAAAAAAAAAGTAATTTAAAATATAACGTATTTGGTTCCAACGTAACCGCCTTTTTTTAAAAACAGACTTCTCTTTTTTCCCCCTTCATAGATTATGATTGTAATTCACTAATTATATTTCAACCCTAACCAAAATGGCCAAGTTTTAACGGGATATAAAAAAAATTTCTATATATAGTATTTATCAACATGTACTACTACAAAAAATTTGGCTTTTTGTTTTCATCTATTTGCATGTACCCGTTTAATCCCGAAATTTTTTGGAAAATAGATTTTATCGCTTATACACAAGATTTTCGAATCGTCTCTCTTAAATATCCAAGGATTCATCACCTTTCCTTACTACTTCCGGCCTTTTTTTGAATTTCTTTGACTTCCTTAACCTTTAAATTCTCAGCAAAAAAAGAACAAGTTTGCGAACATTATTTTTATTTAACTTTTATGTTAAAAAGGAAACCAAAATGCATTTCAGGTTGATTGTAATTTTTTATTTATTAATTTTAATCTAAAAAAAATAGTTTTCTGAATTTTTAGGTTTAATACAAAAATGAAATTATCCATTTTATTAAATCTTATTGTTTTAATTTATTTCCGAAAATAAGTATATGCGTTCCCTTGTTTACAATTAAAATAATATCCATTTAATAAAGTAGTTTTTTTTGATTCAAGAGCCTTTTTCTTTTCATTTTTTTTTATAATTTAAATCCTAACCTTTTAAAGGAGTTTATAACTAGGCTATTTTCAAATAAGGTATGGTATATAACAAGTTAAAATAAAGAAATTTTCTAAAAATATTTTTTTTTTTCAAATTAGTCATTATTAATGGATAATTTTGTCGTAAAGAGAGATATATATAAAATCACTTTTCACTTAATCCTCTTGGGCTAAAAGATATTTTAGGCAATGCAAAATAACAAACATGAACCTTTAAAGTTTGATCTTACTGTGCCATAAAACCTTCAATTCATTGGTCAAAGGTTTAATCATCACACGCCAAATGCATTTAATGCGCTTTTCAAAAATCATAAAGCAGTGAATGCATTTTACGGAGATTGTTTCGGAATAGTTTTTTTTTCCCTTTTTTTTTCTTTAGAATTCCTTAAGAGAACAACCGTGGCTCAGATCTGTTGTGTTTCCTTTATTGGAAAACAACGTCCTTATTCGGTAGGTTTAACGCTACTCCGGTCGTTTTCTTCCGTATTCCGAAACATTGATTGATTAAATCTTAACTCCATAAGAAAGGTAATTTCAATCAACATTAGGCCAATAATTTTACGGATACGTAACGCGTTTGTTAGTAAGCAAGCTCATTCAAAAGTTTTGAAAAGTAGGTTTCCGAGTTATGAATCAAATGTTTCAAATAAGAACATTTTCCAGCTGTTAACGATGTTAACGAATTAGTCAATGCCAATGATAGTCTTTCCGTATTTGTTACACCGTTGGATTGTAACATTCCATTATTTGTAAACAAAATTTATTTTATTCACAATTTCATTCATTTGCAGGTTTCTTTAATACATTTCCTTTTTCAAATTCGGTTGTCAAAGAAACTTTTAAGATGATTTTTTGATTTAGCTTAATATAGACAAATCATTGTTATATCTCTTTATCAAATGCAAAGCAAGTTTGAATTCGCGTGAAAATTACTCCCAGTATCATTAACATGTTTGTAAGAAGCTCAAATCATGTTTTGAAAAGTTTCCTTGTTATGAATAAATGTTTCAATTAGCAATAATGTTTATGTTCTTTATGTGACAATATTGAAATGACAGTTCTATCAAATGTAACAAATATGAAAGTGATCATCGATGTTTTCCTTCCCAATTTCAAATATAAATAAATTGATGTTCATTTCCTTTATTAAAATTAGATATGAAACCTATAAAATTTTTTGAAAAAAAAACCCCCCCCCCCCCCCCGATTAATGTTTCGTATTGGAAAATAAAGTTCTGTCGCTATATCGAGTTTTTTAATATATCTAATGTTTTATTTATGAATTGGAAAATAATCATCATTTAAACAAAGCAGTCGGCTGCATAATTTATTGGAACCTTGTGTTCACAATAATACACAATAATATTAAGAATTAGGGATTTACATTCCGTTTCAGCCGATGTAAATTCTTTTTAAAAAATCTTAATTAGGGTCAATTAAGATTAACATTTTTTAACTAACAAGGAAAGTTTCTTTTTACTCTTAATTGGTGGTTTGTAGTTTAAATTTATTTTCTTTGAATCCAATAATATATATGTATATAGTATTTATAAAGCAAATGAATTAAATAATTTATTAAATTGCTCGTTAATTTAAATTTCAGATTACCGTTATTTATTTATAATTAATTATTTTTATCATTTAGCAAAAAATTATCATAATATTCATTTTTATAAATTTGTATTGAAAAAAAAGCAAGATAAGTACAAAACAAACATTAATTAATAATAAGTTTTAATTATTAATATAAATTAAATTATTATGAATATATAAAAAAGGTAATATTTGATATTAATAAGCATTAAAAATTGATTGTTATTATTACTAATTTGTAAATAACAAAACATTTATTTTTTTAAAATAATTTATAAGATTTTTTATTTTATATATTTTAATTTGAAAGTAAAAAGTTAAATTAAAAGTTAAAAATTAAAAGTATAATATCTTAAAATAAGTGCTTTAAATTTTAATTATTGACTTTTATAATTATTAATTGCATTTATTATAGCTATTGTTTTATATTAAATATAGTAAATATGTTTTGATATAATTCTTTGTCCTAAAATATTAAAACAAGTTTTATTAAATAATAATATAAAATATTTAAAATATATGAAGAATATTCTTAAAATACTTAAAATAAAAAGGATATATGCATAATATTAATAATACTGTTTAAAACTTATTTTAACTTATAGCTTAAAAATTTAGAAATTTTTTTAATTTTCTTAAATCTAAAACATGTTTAAATTATATTGAGTTTAGAAATTATTATAAACATATATAGTTTAATATCAAACATCTCTAAACTAAAAATTGATTAAAAATAGTTTAAAAAGACATCTTTAACTTGAAATAATAAATTTGATATAATGTAAATATTTACTTTTATATTTTTTTTTTTTTAAAAAAAATTTAATTTTTTAAAAAATATATTAAAAAGTTTTTATTATTATTAGTAATAAGTATTAAAAAAAGTAATTATTTAATATTTTTATTAGTTAATCAGTTAATTATAAATTTTTATATGTTTTTTTTTTATAATAAATAGATCTATTTATATAATTATTTATATTTAACTTTTATTTTTATTTATTATTAAAATTATAATATAATATAAAATAAAAGATTATCATCTACATTTAAATAATTATGATATTCTATATTATATAGACTTTTACTGTAAAAAGAAAAAACTATAAAAAAAACTTTTTTAATTTAAAAGTTAAATAGTAATTTTTTTTTTAGTAAAATAAGTTTAGATTTTATATTAATTTAAAAATTATATTTAAAAATTCCTTTATTTTATTATAAAGTAATTATAGTTGATCACTTTTATAATCATTCCCTATATAATCATATTATATAAATTCTCTATTATACACATATCTTTTATAAAAATCAGTTTTTATTAATACTATATAAAAAAACCCTTCTATAATCACATTTTTTTATAGTCATACCTAAAGATAGTATTGTAATTAAGAAATATCAACCCAATAAATTGCAATTCCTTATAAATTTTATTTTAATATAAAAATTTATAAATAGTACTAGAGAGCATTCTTATAAGAATGCTCTCTAATTACGTTATAATGATATCTAGTTATGAATATAATGCTATCTAGTTATGAGTATAATGCTACCTGGTTGACATTTTCAATGCTCTGTGATCTTTTTATTACATTGTAGCTATCCACTTATTTTCATTGTTCTGTGGTCTTTTTATTACCTTGTAGCTATCCAATTGGTATTGACCTCCTACACCAGAATGGATGTCAAATTCTATTTTATGAGTCGTTGGCCTTCTGTAAATGTTTAGATATCTGGTTTTATGTCGAAGATGCTGACCTTCTGCTTGAGTAGCCTACTAAAAGTATGCTATATATTTTGAATGCTAGGTGAGGCATGAAGTGCTGAATTAGTTCAGGTTTTACAGCTTTCATACTCTTTTTTCTTGTATTCTTCTGAACCTTTCTGCCTTTCTGTCCTCTTTTTTGCCTATCATTAGTAGTATACCAAAGCATAACTTCTTATTTTCTTTTCTATATATAATTCTACTTTGATATACTACCAAATCTATACCCTGTTTTGTACTTCTACTTTTCTAGAACTCTTTCTCGCATAGTTGCTACTTTGGCGTATTCTTATGATCATTACTTTAGGCTATTACTATATCAATTTTTCATACTCTTTTTTCGTGTATTATTCTGAGTCTTTTCGCCTTTCTGACCTCTTTCCTGCCTATCATTGGTAGGACGTAAAAGCATAATTTCTTATTTTCTTTCCTATATATAATTCTACCTTTGCGTCCTACCAAATTTATACTTTGTTTTCACCCTTACATTCTAGAACCCTTTCTCGCATAGTTGCTATTCCAGGATACTTTAAGATATTACTCAACTAATTGCTTTTGGGTATTACTTTTAGGTACTACCACATTGACTACTATTACTAACCCAGTGTTTTGCTAACAATCATATTCACTCAAAATAGCAATTTTGAAGATTTGGGATTTTCTATGTAATTTTATATTAACTTTCTCCATATACCTATTATGATACTTGTGCAAAAAAAATTCAAACCCAATCTTGAAGAAATAAATGAAGCAATAAGACTTTTTTTAAATGTAATAGACTTTGATTTTGAGTCAGGTTATAATGATCATGTGTATTTTCAATATTTGTCTAATAGTAAAGATGCTATCACTCTTCTAGATGCCTATCATTCTGAAGAGATTTTTGATAAATATATCATTCAGGTAAGCAGAAAGGGCTTTACAGTTGTTGATCATCCATCTGAGATTTATGGGATACCCGATGCTCATGAATATATTGATGGTAATCTGCCTCTTCATCTTGTTCTGGATACTGATGTGAGGTAGAAGCCCAATCCTATAAATCCTGAACTCCCTTTTTTAGATAGATATAAAATTTCTCGTAATGATTTATTATCCAGAATCTTAATTACCTACGCTGATATTTTATACTATGATTTAAAATATCTCATAACTTTAAATGCTTTTGCTTTAGCTAGTTCGTCTAATGATGATAAATGCAATTAGCATATTGTATGTTCTGATGTCAACTTTATTGACTATAGAGATCTCAGGGTTTTGTAGAAAAAGTCGCTAATCGTGTTGGGAAACCATATTTGGAGTTTATTGATTTTAGGCTTTATAAGCATCATTTTAGCTTTCGACTTCTTGGATCAGCAAAGAATGATAGAGTTAAAAGATTTGCAGTTTCTTCTGTTAAGAAAGGGTATTGCAAACTAGAGGATTATTTAGTTCAACCCAAATTTTATTGTTCTGAAATCTGGCCACAGTCCTTTTCTCCTGAGAAGGAAGAAGTAAAATTTCAGCCTATCAAAGATGAATTTGTCTTGAGCAAAGAAGCTGATCAAGTTATTGTAAAATATAAATAGCTTAAGATCGGAAAAATTGGGAATGGATTTGTTCATTTTTAAGTACAATCATATCAAGCATGTCCTATTTGTAAAATTATACATGAAAAAGACCAGTTATATGGTTTTCTTCAGAGCAACGGATGTTTTATACTAAAATGTTATTAGCAAAAAACTATAAATTAGATCATAAGGGATTAGTATTTAGAAAAGTAACTGAAATTTCTGCAAAACCTAAGAGAGGAATAGTTAAAAGAATAGGTGATGCTATATCAAATCCACACCCTCTTGTAAGATTATCAGAGACAATGATTAATGTAGAAAAATCAAGGAATGTTTCAGAAGTATATCCTGATTTCTTGAGTACTGAAAAAATGACAACACTTATTCATTCTCCTTTAGGGACATGGAAAACTACTATGTTAAGAGAGATTATTATGACGTTGAAGGATAAAATGCATGATATCACTTCTTTACCATGTTATATCTGGGTTTCTTATCAAAAGTCTCTTAGCAATGAATCAAAAATGAAACTTGATGAGCTAAAAACATTTGGTTTTCAAATTTGTAATTACCAAAATATACAAGGAGACTTATCTATAAATGAGTGGGATATTATCATAATTCAGGTTAAGAGTCTTTTCCGTATAGAGTTCACAACCCGTCCATTTATAGCTATTCTTAATGAAGTTAATGCTATTGTGCATCAAATGTCTAGTGATACAAATGCTCAAGAATCTGAGAATGCAATACGTGATGTATTAAGATCTGTGAGACATGTTTTGGGCTATAGATGCTTTTGCAAATACATCAACACTAGCTTTTCTTCAGATTTATCATAGTGAAAATATTCATATAGTTGATTATACATGAAGTCGAAATGGATCATTTCGGATATCCGAAATGGTCGAAATGGTCGAAATAATTTCGACCATTGGAGGCTAAAGTCGCGAAATAGTCGAAATGACGTCATATCACATGATTTTTCATATTGAGAAAAAACAATAAACAAAAA